CTTTTGTGACATATGCCTGCTCCGACTATTATGGAGCCGCATCACACTGTAGGAGTAACTGCTTTTCCCCAACGATGTGGACCAAGGCAGATGCAGAAGCTAGACAATACGTTGTACAAGCAAAAGCCGATTGATGCGCGCTCTTTCACAACCACGGGTTATTTTGTGATGCAGTTCGTTCAATGGGGCAAGAATGGTTGGGCATCCCGTTGGAAACGACGAGAGTTCGACAACAATCCTAGAAAGGACCTTAAGTTATCATTATGCTTGCATTAAAGTGCTGGCAAAATAAATGTTTTTTTAACTTGCAGAATATGCAAATCAGTTTTGTCAAGTTTGTAAATGAGGTAACAAACAGAATCAAATAAGAACACAAAGTTGGACTTTATTAATTGCAAGCCACACTCTTTCAGCTGCTCGAGAACAGTTCGGAATGTTTTTAGATGATAGCGTCATTGCGGCCGGTATATATATATATATGTTTATATATATGTTGCAACAGCCTATGAATAGACACAGAGCCATCAGTAACTATGGAACACCAAAGATAAAAAACAGCAATTGTAGAAGAAAAGGCAACACAACACATTAAAGTCCAAGGTTTCTTCTGATGATGAGACACTAACCGATTGCCTAAGCCGAAGTAGGGTGTTGACTTAAGGGACACCACCTCGAGCCTTTGGCTGAATAGCCTGCCAGCAAGGCAGCATAGCAAATTCACGGAATCGAGCCTTTGGGAGCAAGTGACTGATTGCTCAGTTCATACGATTTCATATGTTTCTTTGTCAAACAGGGGCCAAATGCTTTCCATAATTACAGCACAAAGTTTCTGGAGTACAATGCTTCGCCAGGATGAAGCAAGGAGCAGTGACTTTATTTAGCGGCGGGTCACGTCCGCCACGTCTAAGTGTTGTTAAACGTAAATATGTGGCTTTTATAGGGAGAATGCTTGCCAGGCAAATACCCACCACGGCCTGGAACACTGCCGCCTAACCATTTGCTGTAATGGGAAAATCACGAACCACCCAGCTGGCATCACTAGGAGGTGGTTCCGCAAGCCAGCCACTGCGGCCAGTAATAAGGAGATCGTCTAAGTATGCGCAGGTGAACGGATTGGCGGCGGGGCCTATAAATTTTGCTGTGCTCCACTATTTCTCGCTTTGGAGTTTTTTTAACACACGTTCTCAAATCTTACATTTTGCTCTACTGGTTCTTGTCATAATTCGTCCCTCGTACCTCGATGCAAATCCACTCACGCAATATTTTAACAGCGATAGGTTTTTCTACGCTCTAACTCGTGCACTTTTGAGAGGTTTTGTTTTCAGAAACCGATTTAAACCAATTCAGAAGTGTAACTATTCTGTTAGAAAATACCGTTCTGGATGGTGTGTTGCTCTTTGAAGGGAAATTTGAGAGATATGAGCGTCCCAATATTGCTTAGCACCAAGACCCGCTAGCTAATGGGGATATTAAATGAACTAGCAAACATTGTTTTCTCAAGGGAGATTTCACAACTTAGAATCATTAGGTTGCAAGGAACTTGGCTCCATGGAGAAGCCAGTGGTGCAGTCATATCCTTTGGAAGATTTCGTTGTCATCTGGTTGACTGCCCATGCACGTAAAGAAACCTACTTTGTGGAGTAATTATTTACACTAATCCGTCTTGGTGTAGTGCAACGAAACATGTTTTTTATTCTCCTAATTATTTATTAATTGTTATTCATACAACGTAAGCGGTGTTTGAATGGTTACCGCTCAATATTATTGGCTAACATCTGCATGTCGCCCACCTGTCCCAAAGATAATGCTTAGAATTTTATGATGAATTTCCTGAAGTTGTCATGAAACACTGTGTTGGTTCTATGTGCATCTTCAGCGGAGGTTCCAATAAATGTGACACTATATTTCGCACCGCTCTCGGGTTGTGCAACAACGTCAGTCTGCCCACTAGGTAAAAATATTTTAGTAATATGAAGTGGTTCACCGTACATACTTAGACTCTAATCGGCAATTCAGATCACTGAACAGTCAAGATTTCATGTGTCATCTATAGCAAGAACAACCATCAACAAATCACTAGCTGCAATGTTTGAAAGATCAGATGGAGACAGTGTTCACCACAAAATCTCGACAGACTTCGCAAAATGATCGTATCGACGGAATTTAGGTTGTTTGACCGTGATGTATCCAAATATTGTGGTAAGTTGACAAACTACTTACGCTTCAGTTTTGAAATATGCTGCCCTCTAGAAACCAATTACATCCGCGAGGACAGGTTTTCCAACGCCCTCCTGAAGCGCCTATCCCTACTTAAGGAGACATCGTTTAAAAAATAACGGCGCTTCAAAAGTGTCTCTCAGTGGTCTTATCACGGAAGAGCTACACTCTCTTAACAAAATGCGAATGCATTCCGTTCTTCGGAACGGCAGTTCTCGTGAACTCTGGAGGATGCTGAAAACATTTAACGGAGTTACTCGAGGTTCGTCCTACTAAGATGCAGACAAAGAGAAATTGATACAGGAGCTCTGAAAGATCCAGAGGATTCGTGTGACCAAGGTTTAAGGTCTGCCGAACCATCGCCTCCCTTTGCGCAACTGTAAATAATCTACAGCAACAGCTGCGTCTGTGGAAAGCTAGTGGGCCGGATACGTTATAACATCTTACGTAAAACTATACTGTGTGTTTGGTAACCCTTCTTTAGAGTATATACACAATGTGTATGCAGCAACACAAAACAGCCCACTGCTGGAGAAATGTCCACATTACACCAGCGCCGAGAAAAGGATCTAACAAATATCGACCTATCACGTGCAATTCCATTGCTTAGAAGGTTGTGAAGAAAGTCATTCTCGAATTGATGCTATCCAGGACACACTGTAAGGAACCCTTCCCAGTTCGCCTTTCGTAGTTCGAAATCTATCCTAGATGCTTTGACCTACCTCGTATATTCTGTACTGTCATGACTTGACAATAGGAATAAAACAACTCGGATGTGTTTTCTTGACTACAGCGGTGTATTTGGCTGTGTAAACAGCAACTTACCGCTAGAAGACCCACTTACTCAAGAAGTACATCGCTTCATTGTCTATTTAATGGTGCTTAATTTTCTGAACGCACTCACATTACCCGACCCAGTTCCTGATGTTCCTTCCCACTACTCACCACCGCAAGTGTCCTTCAGGGTGCATTTCGGTCGTCTTTTCTCTTTTTTAATTACGTCAGTACTGTTCCAACCACAAATGAAACGAATCTGGTAAAATATGCAGACGAGATAGTCCTGTGCAGCAGTCACCAAAGCGCTGATTGTTCAGGCAGATAAGCATGACTTTTGAACGATGGTAATGGCTAGTCCGAATTCCGTGATCTGTCTCTTGATGCTTCGAAGTGCCATGGTATGCGTTTTTCTTTACCCAAGGTAACCAGGTACAAGGAGTTCGTTACACTGGGCAACAAGTTACATATTGATGACAACAGAATACGGTTTTCCATATCAGTAAAATATCTGGGTGGGAGGTTAAGATTTACTTTGGATGGCTCAAGTAAATGAAACACACATAAGTCAGAAGGTTGTCCTTCTGTCTTTCGGCCCAGAGCCTTCTGCTTTCTTCGTGAGTTGATCGTTCGTTTCATCAATTCCAGTGTTCTTCCCCATTGGACATACTGTTGCAATGTGAATATTCCCGGTAATTTTGGTAAGCATTTGAAGTTAATTATAAACTCCTTAAAGTACTTATCCCAATGTAGCAATGTTCCGCTATCTAGTTTTGTCAACACGATTATTTCTGCACACTT